AGACAGGGATGACTGATGGATCAAACACACACAGGGGTCAACAACAGCCCTTACATGCCCCTCACCAGTTGCCCCCTTTAGACAATACACAATAAAATCTTTAAAAAAATATTTTCCCAGCACGTAGTACAAATGTAACACCATGTGTGCTATAAAACGGCTGATTTAATATGATGTTTTCCATCGCTGCGGCACATACTGTAAATTAGCAAGTGTTTGAAGTAAGATCTCTCAGAAGCAGGGATAAAGCTAGCCTGCGTGCAGCGAGCGTTTGTCATATTTATTTTTGGTGGCCGCAGGCACGTGTAGGCTTAAGCCATGCAAGCCTCTAATTAAAGACCAACCAACGAGCAGACGCTCCAGGAAGGAGTGGCTCTTGTCTTCTTGTCTCTCTTACGTAACTCATAAAGTAACAGCAACATTGTTTAATTGCACTTGCAGTTTTTAGTTGTTTACTAATCAGTTCAAGCCCCAGTGCAAATCATTATTCATTTTTGTCAACATAGATGTCATCTTTAGTAACAAAAGATTTGTGTATTTACTTTTGGTTCTTTGGAGAAATGCATCTGAAATTGACTTTTAGAGGTGGAATTATAACTTTCAAAACTGTCAGAGAAATGTATAAACTGTGCTAGGAGAGTTAGCATTAGCTGCATGTGAGGGGACTGATAATTGTAAAAAAATATATTATATACAATTGCTCTTCAATAAAAGGCATTTTTAACACCTCAATAGGCCAGTTAATTTGTACATTTTTAATTGAGCAAAAAATATAACTTTATAACAACTACATCATCACCAGAGCCAGTAATTATGTCATTATGTCTTCATAAACCCAGTGGACGAAGCTTATCTTCCTGTTCCTGTGTTTGGTTCTGCAGGTACAGCCTCATCAGTGTGTTCCAAGTTTGGACTGTTTGTAGATTTACTTTTGTTCCTGTTTGTTTCTTGCAGAGAAGCTCAGATCCCAGCGGACTAGAGCAGAGGAAGAGCAGTGCCAAGATCTCTGAGGTGAGTTCTCTTTACAAACCAAACACTCTTTTGTATGTGTGTGTAGCACTGCAGAATAATTTAGGGACCAGATGCTGGACCCAGTCATCTGCTGTGTTTTTGTCATCTGTCATGGTTGGTTGAGTTTGACACTGAAAACTACAATGTAGTCCACCATTCTGGTTTAATCCATCTTTGCATGGTTGGTTGAGTTTGACACTGAAAAAAGCCTTTATTTACATTGTTTGTTCTAATTAAAAAAATCAAATTCTTCATGTTAAGGAAGATTTAAGGGGAAGAAGACAGTGAAGTGGAGGAGCCTCAGTCAGCTATTCAACACAACCAGCCATAATATATAAACGAGGTTAAGACATTTCCTCTCTCTAATGCAATAAGTGGACGCTAACAGAGCTACAGCCACCTGAAGGGATTAGCCCCGCGACTGTGGCTGAGGGAGCCTGAGCTGGAGAATGCACTCGGTGAGCGGTTTGAAGACGTCGGGAATATTAGTGCCTGGCTCTGTGAAATGAAAGCAGTAATTAAGGTGAAGTTCTACAACTCACCGTGCCATCGCGATGGCTCCGACAAACAGGTACCAAAATGTGTGGTAGATTAGAATCTGCTAGAATGGAAGTGGATAATAGTCCATGCACTGGCTAACCTTGAAGGTTATTATTACCTTACACAGTACAGAGCACTGAGCTGCAGCATTCAGCCTGTCATCCAGCGCTATTTATGCTTTTTACCTTTGCGATACAATTTTATGTTTTTGATTTTTAAATGAAATCATCAAATTATTTGCTATGTTGGGGTATGACATGAACAAATGCTGTCAGTAGTTGGTGCTGAGTGTCTTTTTCCACATCCGCTTTGCTTTAAAATGTTGCAGGAAAAAGTGAGAATATTATAAGACTGTGGTAAAACAAATCAGTAAATGGAAGTGGACGGCAGAAACTCCGTCCTCTTCTGACATTATTGTTTGATTCTGACACATTCTGTCACAGGCAGTAATCCATCTACTCCCCCTTTGTGCTCTGCACTGCAGCATGTGGAGTTAAAAATGAAAAATCTTATGGTTAACCGCTGTTGAAGATGAGGCTTTTTAATGAGCATCCACTCCACTAACTGAACCATGCACTGTATGTAAATGATGTAAAATTGAAACGCAATTCTCATTTATTTTTTCTTCTGTCTGTTTTGAAGCCTTTCCTAAGATGATTAAACATTTTTTTAAAGAAAAAATGTTGATAACAGTGAGAGACTATTTACAATCTTGTTGACTGCAGAGCATTGTGAATTGTTTTTAATTTATACTATTTTTTTAAATTATTGCCTTTTTGCATGGTGAATTGTTTTTAATCTATACTATTTTTTTAAATTATTGCCTTTTTATCATCAACATAAAACCACCATGACAGTAAACGCATCAAACATGAATTCAGTCTGACTCTTGATGCAGGCCTGTTCTGGTCTTTGTTGTTTGTTTCTCTTTTTTTTCTCATCACTGTTACATAATTATGTTCCAAGTGATTTAAGTTTCATCCTGTCATCACTGTTTTCCACATCGGGACGTTGCAGTTTTGTGTATTTATGACTCATCTGTAGAGCATTAACATTGTGTTAAGGGTAGTTTGATTATGAAGGAGTGTTTGAAATGTCACTGTTAGAATTAAACTGCTCTGGCAGCTTTGGTCTGATATTAAAACTCTGCCACCGTTTATCCTCTACAGATAATTAATTTAATAACAATCATTATGCATGAAGAGGACATTGGTGCTTTTGTGTAGGAATTGAACACATCTGATGCAGGGATACTGGATATCAAGTATCAGGTACTGGATCAATTAAAATGAATATTAATTACAATTTATCAATAAACCAGTTCACTTTTGGTTTTGGCGTTGATGAATCGTCACGGCTCTAGAAATGATTTGATCACTTAAATGTCTGAATGTAAAAGTTGAAAATAAAAAAAAAATCTGTTGACATTAGCATTTGATGTTCCACAATACTGTAGGCTGAACCTCAGAATGACCCGTGTGATGTCATCAATGTCCCATGACATCAGAGCAATTCCACGACTGAGTCACGAGTGTATGATATGGGTGGTAATATAACTAGTCTGCAGTCAGTAACTGTCAGTGCTTCAGAACAGCAGAACTGAAGAAACTGGAATGGAATGAGAGCTGAAATCTTATGGACTGGAATTCCAGTCCAGTTGCTGCTCACTGATGCTTCGGAGGCTTCTTGTACGGTTTCAGTGAGTGGAGCCCAGTGTTGCTCCGGTTCTTTAAATCAAGCCACAGCCAGTGTGTGTGTGTGTGTGTGTGTGTGTGTGGCTGTTAATTAGTCGTGTTCACCGCAGCAGCAACAGTACAGACAGACAGAATATAATTCATTCTGCTGAGCTGATGCTTTTATTCAGTCTCTCACTCACCTCCTCTCTCTTCCCACAGCGTGGGTAAGTTGCCCAGGCTGAAGGAGAGAGAGAGAGAGAGAGAGAGAGAGAGATAGGAGGAGGAGGAGGAGGAAGAGGAGGAGACATTGAACTGAAAATAAGAGACTCAATGAATGAGAGAGGGAGAGAGATGGGGAATGATTTTGGGTTGTTGGCACAAGCCCGGCCAGCTACTGAGCATTTTTACTGAGTGTTTGCATCTCTGTGTGTGTGGTACGCGCGGGTGTGTGTGTGTGTGTGAGATGATGTGCGCCTCGCTCTGATATGCTCCTGTTGGAATTCTGATTGCCTTCAGCTTTGTGGAGGAGGCATCCCAATTCTCTCAAGGGGCCCACATTCTTTAACGTCCGTCAGCCGTGGATTCTCTTTGCCTTTGAGTGTGTGCGTGAATGAATGTGTGGATGTGAGCATGTGTGTGCACACTTGTTCTCTTCCTCTCCTCCTCCTCCTCTTCCTCTTCTTCTCCTCCTCCTTCAGAAACTCCTACCTTTTTGGTTTTGCCTCCTTGCTTCTTGACAAGGGCATCTCTTCCTGTGTCTTCCAGCCTGTTTTTCCTGCAGCTTTGCTTTTAGTGGTGATGATCATAAATATAGGTTGAGGGTTTTTCTTTTTCTTTTTCTTCTCTTCACCTGGACAACATGGATTGTCTTTGCATTGTCACCACTAAGGTAAGAAACTCACCGCAGCTGAGGATTCACACCACGGTTTAAACCAAGGGAATGATTTTTTTGCTTACTTTATACAGATATTTCTGATTTTACTCCTCAGTGTCTTGGTTGGTTATGCTTGTTTGTTTGCTTGTTTGTTTGTTTGTTTGAAAGCCTGTCCTTCCAGAGAGAGCCTGAATACCTGTCCGCTGAGAGACAGTAGAGCAGGAGAAGTTGGGTTAAACTTTTGTCAGTTGGCTCGTGCCACAGAACACGAGCAGTAACGTCAGCTGTTGGACAGATTATATAAACGTCTACACAATGCAATATAATTGCAATATGTATAATTTCTGATGCACATTGTAGTCCTGATATATTTGGATTTATCAAAACTGGATAAAAAATGTGTACATCTTCGTTGTGACTTCACTACAGTGGAAATGATGAGTTAAAACCTGAGATCTGTGCTCCGCCAGCAGTGCTGTGAGGATCTGTTATATGAAGGACACTTTCTAAACTCTATGCCAGCTGTGAGGCTTGGACTGATGAAGAAATCGGGTATGACTCAGACTGCTATGTCCAAGTGCAGGTAACTCAAAACATTTTTTCCTTATTCTTCAATTCAGCAAAGGATGCTGGAATACACTTCCTGTTTTCCTGGCCGTGCATGGTTTGGGCATGGTTTAGAGAATTGCTGTAGGAATGGTAGTGTGGGTCGGGTGATTCATCACAACGGTCAATTGACTTCAGTTTGATTTGTTCAGCTCATTAGTGAGAGGAAAAACAGCCGCACGTACGGTTGTCTCCTGATTCCGAAGATTTTTGAAAGAAGCGATTTTACATGATAAAACGGAGAGTCATACTGTCAGAGCAGCTGCAGGAAAATAACAAAACAAGACAACAGTAAACATTCTAGAAGCAACCTGACGACTATTTACATAACACTGAGGTCACACTGATGTTTGCACACAGCGTCTAAGTGAACCTGACAGAGCTCGTCTTGTCATTTATGCGGAAAATCTCCACTGAGTGGTTTGCAGGCTATGTATAGACATGGTCTACATCCAATAAGACAGTGAGCCTGGAGTTGTGGCTAAAGATGTTAGCGTACAGCTCTCCTTCATGTATGATGTAGAACACGTATGTAGTGCTGTAAAAGCAGGGACGTACTGTAGGTCATTTAGGTTTGCTGAATCCCTAAAAGCTCTGAAGTGTTCACATGGTCTCGTGCACGAAAGTCGTCAGAGTCAGACTGTGTTGTCGTTCACTCACACGTGCCGAGGCCCCAGTCAGACACCTGCTGTGAGGAGACGGGGTGGTAACAGTGACTGTAGTCTGGGGTTGAATGTGACAATGCCCTGAAGTATATACAGTATTTATACACTTACAGTGTAAATGATGGAAACAGTCTTCAGCATTGAAGTGCTTTAGTAAAAAGTCTGAAAGTCGACACAAAGATGCACAGTTAATTTGAGAAAGTACTGTTGATAAGAATGTATTGCAGTACAGCTGAATATGCCATCCTTGATTTATTACTTCAATAAACATTTGCAATCCTGAAGCTGCGCTCGCATTTAGGGGAAGAATATCGTTAAAGGGTAGGGATGTCCAAGGTCTTAGGTTTTAGTGACTTTTTCAAGTGAACATATTTTTTTTAATTCTCTCCAATTTTGTTTCTTACACCTTTAATACAAATATTTAAAGGTGTGAGTAATCTTTATTAATTTAAGGCGAAAAGAGAACTTTATTACATATTTACAGATAGCTGATGAGTTTTCATTAAAACATCATTGCTCAGTAAAGTCCAGGAAATCAGTTGTGTGATCAGTTGAATACACAGATGTATAGTTCCTGTTAGCATCACTGTATGTGAAACAAAGTATTTTTTTAATCACAGACGCTCATGGATGGTAATGTTTTGTTTTCTCTTGATGCTATCTGACAGTCACTCATTCCCTTCATTAGATCATTGTATAGGGTAAGATGGTGACTTCATATATATTTAAATATTCTACATCTCTATACCCATGAGTCTAACTGCTTCAGTGTTTTTATTAAATGCGTTGATCTGATTTAAGTCATGTGTGATGCTGTTTGTTTGTTTCCTTCCTCTAAATGAAGTATCAACTGCATATGTGGTATGTAACAGAGTTAGGGGAGAACATGACATCACTGCTAATGTGTTTTATAAGGACTCACTTCAGCCCACACACAACCAGGTTTCCTATCTTTAAAACCCAGTCATTTATTCCCAGTCATACAGACTTAATATTTAGCTCCTCCTCACATGACTCTGCCACTGTTAACGTAGTGTGTGCCGTGTGTGTTTGTGTACTGTTATCTTATGGTCCAGTTTTTACATGCATACCTTGACTCATACTTAATAAACACACATGCACACACACACCCAGAGTCACACTGAGCTGCAGAAGCGTCCTCTGTTGCTGCTCATGTCATGAGAGTCTTCATGACACCAAGCTATATTTTGCTTCACTATCTAAAGTATTCATCTCCCTGTAATGAATGTGCAGAGTGTAATGATATGCAGTAGTCATCCCATGGCTGTGTTATGTAAGACTCTGGGGCCATGGTGAGTACGGTGCTGTAGTTCACACCAGATAAAAACAAAATGCACAAAGGAACAGTTCTCATGTTAATGTGTTGGTGGCGCTGTGGTGAAGCAGCTTGCTGTAGTCACAACAAACAAAAAAAACAAACATCTTTTAGACTGTAGATCTTGAATTGTTGTCTGTGTGGAATTGAATTACAATCATTGCCAAGTGTTTAGAAAAATGTATTTTAAAATGTACAGATGTATAATAGCACTAGAACAGAATATTTAGTTTTGTTGTGGAAATGCATCTTGTCTTTTTAATAATATTTCACTTTTACTATGTTATTATTGATGCATTTTTGATGCATGTCAAGCTCTGACTGATTTGTGCTACGTGGGCTTTAGTTGCTTTAGTGATGGCTATTATTAGGGCTACATTGTATCTTCCTAGGATATAACCACTGGTTACATACTACATTTCTGTCTGATATATATTATTATTTAGGCAGGGCAACACTGAAGGTCCTAGTGTGAAATACATGGCACGCCACTGAGTCATAAAGGAGTGAGAAATATTTCACATTTCCTAATCATCCTAATCCTGGTTTTTTATTAACCTGTGTTTCCACTCACATGTAACCTCAAAAAGTAATGTGCAGAGAAGCCAGTAATGGTCAGACAGCTAACCTAGCAGGCAGGCTGCTAACCTAATTGTATTTGTTTCACACACAGAAGGTCCCGGTCTTTACTGTAGACGTGTTTTATTTAGAAGCTACCCAACAGTTGGGACACAGACATGAAATTCAAAAATAGTCTGTTGTCTGCCGTCTCCATCAGGTTCTGTTTTTTTTTTTCCTTGTGCACTTGCTACACTTGTTCTATTTTCACACATTTCAAAATCAAACTCTCATCTGCCAGGAATCTCTTCTTGGCACAATGATGTGAATTTATTTTCATCCCACAGACCTGCAACACCTTGGTTGCTGTTTCTCAGTGTTTAAAAAATGTCACATCTTCTACTTCAGAAATATCTGAAGGTTTTTTTTTTCCACTTGTCAAATGCTGCTCTCCTGTAGTGTCCTGTTAAAGCTGCTGTTGTCGTCTGGTCGTTATCTTAAAATAGTCTGCACAGAATTGTTACATTCGTTATTACAGTTGTTTTAGGCCATTTACTGTAAGTCATTTGAAAACCTGACATGATGTGAAACGTTTCAGAAACATAACATTAAATGCATTGTACATAAAACGGATGCTGGACTCTAAATCTTACATTTTATTTATAGTGCAGCACAGGCAGAACGACAGTAGTAATGAATGCTGTGGCTCTGGACCAACGTTCCTGTAACTAAGTATGAAATCATGGAGCAGCCTGTTAAATAAGGATTACAAAATCAGATTATTATTTCTGTCCCACCAGTTGTGTTAGCCCAGTGACAAATGAGAAAACACAACAGTAAGTTGATGATGTTGTTTCTTTCACATAAAAAAAGAATAATAAAAAAATAAAATAGTAAAAATACAAATATGAAAACTGAAACACTTCTGAATTATTTTGTTGGCTTAGTGCTAGAAATGGACAAGAGGGAGTACAAAACAAATCTATTATTAGACATGTTGTGTGAGATCTATTATTATCTATTAAATCTATTATTAGACATGTTGTGTGAGTCATCAGTGAACAAAGCTCTTGAGTTTAAATAGTATCCAACAATTTCCAACTTCCTTTCATAAATATCTGTATTATAACTATAGTTCCATAGTGGTGTGGTTATCACGCCTGCAACACATCTGCCTTACATAGAGGAGGTCCTGGGTTCAAGCCCCAGAGGAACCAGCCTGTGTGGGTTGCAAAGACTGTGAATTTCTCCATTGTGTAACGATTAAGGCACTGTTTTCTAACTTATAGCTTTAATCGAAGTTAATCACTATTTAGTTTTACTTTTAGTTTTTAATAAATAAGTCTCTGGATATCAAAATCAATACAAGTACAAGAATTACTAAATTTGGGAAACATATCTGAAAAATGTCAAGAATAATAGGAAAAGTAAAATTTGGTCGTCCCCCCCCCATGTGGACACGTTGAGAACTGGAGCTTAAAGTTGTCAATAAACTTTCTGCCATTCCAATACAACAACAAAGACAGAAGACAGATCAAGTTCCAACTCTGCTCAGTGCTATTCGTTTCTTAATGTATTATTATTTATCTTTATTAACATTTGCATGGCTGTTGAAGAGACCTTCCTGGTTTAGTTCTAGACCACAGGGATTCACATTCACACCACAGTGATGGAGAGAAGACCAATGATCTTGGCCTCTTAACATGTGCGTACACAGAAAGATGTCAGAAAGACAGCAAAGTTTTATTGCTAAACAGTTCCTTTACCAGGCTTCTTAAATTAACCAGCCTTGAGTCTAACTGTCCTGATCAAATCCAAATGGCTTCATTTGTTTGATAAAATGTTTTTTT